GAGCCAAGTTACCCGTAGATAAACTGCGAATAGGCGTCGATGTTGAAAGCAAATGTGTTTGCGTTTCACCACCTAGTGGGATGGGCATGTAAGTTAGGTCTATTATTAATTTTTGGAAGATAACTAAGCATATTAAAACCAATATTAGTGGCCGAATATGCAAAACTACAAGAATTAAGAATATTTTCGTTTTTGTAAACTTTCCACCATACCCCTCAATCGTACTTCAAAAGGTCACTCATTTAAAGTCGATGACCAAAATGCACACCTCCATAGCATTGCTGATTCAAAGCTGAAAATGAAGGAACGCCATGATGCGCCCACATGGCATAACATCAAGTAGGCATTTATGTCGTGATTAGACACAACTCTTGATTAACTTGTGTAAAGTGCTGATCTTAGTTGACATTCAATTTGCATAGTCCGTTTCATGATCGCTAAGGCGCTTTTGTTTCCTAGAGCAATCAGTGCTAAGCAGTTAAACTAGTGGAATCCCATTGTATATCACTGAGAGGGTGATATTACAAGCAGGCTTTAGAAATAAGAAATAAAAAAGCACAACCTCTTGTATAATCCTGTTAAAGAAAGGACAGAAAAACCATTACCAATGGCTCAGTTAAGGCGTTTTTCAACTAAAATCTAGGCAACGTTGAAGTGTCACACGGAGCGTAGCGAACTGTTTAATTCTTAATAGACAGACACACGCACGCACACACGAGGTCTGCAAGGCTGAGGGGGATTAGAGCAAGACCACGCTGGTGCTGCTGTAACTACTCGATGGTGCGTGAAATACCCTCACCATCCCTCGGGGGACTGAGATAACCAGAGGGGCACTGATGCCGCTGATGGCTATGGTGGTGAATGGGTAGGCGCGTGGTGAGCAGGGCTGGAAGCACCGCCTTGGACTTGTGGCTCCAGCTACTTGAGCTTGTCAAAGAATTTGTGCTCAGAGGACAACCCATTCAACCAAATCACTGTCTTTTTTCCTTTTCCATTTGTGCATTTTTTGCAACGTTCACTTTTAGCTGAAATGACGTGCCGATGGCTTCCAATTCGCACACCTAAGCTGCCCAGCCTGCCATTCTCAATACCATTCATGAAGAGCTTGCATACTATGTATGGACTGTAGTGGCACTTTTATGATAACAACTTTTGCCACTGCCTTATCCTTTGAATAGGCAAGAAGCAATTTTACCTGCAGGAAATGCCCCAAATAAAACATCAAGCAAATTTCTGATACTTCTTTAAGGTATAAAACCCATCGGAGGTAGTACTTCCCCAATAGTGAGAACATTCCGAGATGCCTGATTATGTCAAGTGCCACAAAAACCATTTCATGACGCTTTTTGATTAAGGCCCGAAAATTGAGAATCAGTCGCATTTTACTTCTGCTGTGCGCATCGTCTTGTGTCAAAGTTGACTATGTTTTTCCACATGCATCAAATGCCGATGTCAGGAATCACACATCCCTGTATTAGTTGACACAATTTCGTCCAAATTAAATTCAAACGAAATACAAATGAATCTATTATGAGAAATAAAGATTAAAAGCAGGTGTCATACACTTCAAATGTCGTTACCTTAACATACATGATAAGTGCTTTGCAATGATCAGAGAATGACCAGAGGTTTGACTAACCTCATTCCCTAAACTGGTGGTCCTTCAAAGAGGCGAGTAATGAACGAACAAATAAAATCAAGCAAACGTATGGAAATCACGAATGTGTTGAACAAGTAGGTTTTAGGATAACGAGTCTCCAAAAGCTCAGGTATTTCTGGCAGAACTGATATGGAAGAAACTTGGAAGAGATAATCGAGGCGTGGAATGTAAAATGAGGCAATGAAGTATATGATTTATTAAGCTGCATTTGCATCCCAAAACTGTCGTCTGAAGGCAGACTGTAAAAGCACTCATTCACCTGCGAAATGAAAGGAACGATTTATATGTTCACTTAATGCAGCTAGTAAACATATCCAAAAAAAATTTTACAGTTAGAAGATACTTGTTAAGAAGAGAACCTTATTTAGGCAGTCATTGAATGAAATGAGCAGGAGGCTTATAGCGTCCTTCTCGAGAATCAGAAGCTGTAAGTGGTAAACAGTTAGGAAAAGAAAAAAACACTAAAAAAGAATATGAGCAAAGGACTATATGAGATCATCTACATTCCCTTTTCAGCTAAATCGAGGTTCCAGCCTTCGGCACACCACATAACAATATGTCTACTGTGTCTGTAATGTGAGATGATATGGGAGTGGAATATTTCCATGCAGATAGAATAATTTCTAGCTCGAAGCCACTGCATCACAGCTTGACCATAGTCTGCATTCTGTGTGAGTTCGGTGAACATGGCTATGTGCTGCGGCAACGTGTGGCTGTCAGGATAGTTTGAGTTGAGCCAGCGAATTGGGTCCTTATAGAATGCATCAGCCTCGTCAACGTAGGTTCGAGGGTCTGTGCCGTGCCATGCCGAAAGGTCTGGGTCACAGGAGAGCAATCGTAGACTCACATTCACATGAAGGTAACTATAGAAGCCGAAAAAAATGAGCAAGTTGGTTTTCCTAGGACTGTCCACTCGAATAAATAGCGTTTCAATGCTTATTTCCTCGTGGGTTTCAAGGCTGTTTAACTGAACCAAACACAAGTTTTAAAGAGCTAGTGAGATTAC